TGCTTGAATACTTCTTCTAGCCAGGATACTTCCTCATCAAATGTTGTTGCAAACACAATGACATAATCCAGGTACACCAGGGCTATCCTCCATTGTAGGCTTTCCAGTACTCTTTCCATCAGCCTCTCAAATGTTTCTGGAGCATTGCTAAGCCTGAATGGCATCACACAGTATTGCCAGAGACCTTGGCCATAACTAAATGCAGTCTTAGGTTTATCTCCTTCAGCCATTTTCACTTGATGGAAACCTGACTTTAAGTCAAGAGTTGAAAACCACCTGGCTCCACTTAGGGCATTAAGAGTATCATCAATTCTTGGCAGTGGGTACAAGTCTTTTTCGGTTATACTGTTAAGAGCCCTGAAGTCCACACAGCAATGTTGGTTCCCATCCTTCTTCTGGACTAACATGATGGAAGCTGACCAGGGATTATCTTATTTATCAACTACCCCTCCTTTAATTAGGCCATTCAGGACCTTCTCCATCTCTTGTCACTTTGCCAGAGCTATTCTCTTTGGAGGGATCTTTATTGGATGGTGATTGCTTGTGTTTATTCTGTGCTCTACAAGGTCTGTGTAGCCAAGGTCATGATCTCCTGTTGAAAAGACGTCTGCATAATTCGCCAAAAGTTCCCTAACCTGAAGAGCCTGTAATGATGACAAATGGACTATGCTCTTCTTATAGAGGTCAGTTAAATGTTCTGGGAGAGGATGTTCTTTCTTTATGGTTGTATTTCTTGCCTTAACATTGATTAGCTCTACCTCCTAGTACACACCCAACAATGCCCCTTCCTTAAGTGTCTGCTCACATTTAGAGAAATTAGCCACTGTTATGGGTATTACTTGATGACCTGCCACAAGTGACCTTCACATCTGCTGGCCTGGATGAGTCTTCCACTGCTTCCACAAGCATCGGGCTTCTTTGGGGATGTTCTTTTATTCTACCCCAAATTATCTTCTCTGACATAGGGGGTATTGTAGTTGATTTAAGTGCTGTGACATGCAAATCAACAGATGCAGCAACACTTACTGGAATTTGTCCTTTGTTGTTCCCAATCGTCATTTTATTGAAGTTAACTACACACTTCCTCGGTAGTAAGTAGTCCAACCCTAATATGCATTGGTCTT